CTATGCTCAAAATGTATTGACCAAACAATTTTGATCTATATTAGCCTAATTTGCAAAATAAGAACTGGTGGCTTGTTATGATGAAACCAGTATCTGTAACAAAGGGACAGCTGCTTGCATATTTCAGTTTAGCAAGGGTTGGAAATGTAGGATTTGGAGAGAGAGAGTTGGTTGGTTGGATTTTTTACTTTCTGAAACCATGAACAAAATTGTATTGTACTATGTTGGGAAAAAAAATCATGTAATAGAATGATCAGCCCCAACAGGCATGCATGTCTCCCTTCATGCAAGCTAAAAAAAGCACAGCCTCCTGCTTACATATGTGTACGTGTACATGTGTCACAGCAAACAGCTAAGCTTTCAAATCTGGAATAGGCTCGAGCAGAGAACAAAGGGCCAAAGCATACAGTACATCCAGAAGGGGGAGCAGAGAAATATATTGTGTGTGGTCATACAGGAGGGACATGATGGCCAAACAATTACTAAGATACATGGAAAAGGAATATGGAGGAGGAAAAAACTCAGGATATAGCTAGGAGAAAGTGAATAGGCACTGCCTTGCAAAATGATGAGCCTCTTCAAATGACAACCATTTAGGTAGTGTACTTTCCTTTAATCACTAGATTTCATTTGTTTCTAACATGCCTTTTTCTACAGGACAAGTGTAAGATTAGTTGTCTTGCACTGAAATTTTGATTGGTGGAACTGTCAACTGCTGAATTTTTGCTCTACTTTACAGAAAATTAACCCAACCCTGCATTTCTCCATCTTCTTTTGAAATGCAATTAGTGCAAAAAAATGTTTTTGGAAGCCCTGACTTGTAGTGGCACCTAAATACCACAATGCAATCACTTTTAAATGTATTATGTAATAATGCCCTCCTGCAAGTCTGGGAAACAGTCCGCTTCATGGGCTCTGGTGAGATACCAAAAAATGGGTGATCTGCATTATTATTTCATAGCATCTGCAGTAAACTCCCCTACTGACTAAAGTGCAGAGCTAATTCAAATTTTCTGTGTGCTTACATATATTTTAAAGTGCATGTTTACTTACTTGAGTTTCTACGTCAATATTTAACTTGTTAATCAAATCAGATATTCAAAAGAGTGGACCTCAAGTTTTCACACTATACTGCAAGCAGGAAGTGTAGTTATAACCTTAGCATCTTGGACACATTTACTACTTTAGCTCCCCAGCTGTCTATCTAAGGTATTTATAGTGTGCCAGTCATCATAGTATCTAGGCACTAACGCCTGCTCTCCTACCAGATGGTGGGCAGGATAGTCATATTCAAAAGGGCAGGGTTATAAAAAGGAGGGAGGAAATATTTTTTCAGATTCATTTACTTCTTGCTAATAAAGCCAGCCATATAAAAATGTCTTTTCCCCTCATCCATCTTGGGGCATTGCACCTCTCATTACTCATGACCAATGTGTAACCTTGTAATCAGAATGCAGTAAGTAGCAGGCTCCTTAATCTCTTCTGATAATTAATGAGTGTGGGTGTGTTTATACACTTATTTTTTGCCATTCTGGAGTAAAACAGAACTATACATAGGCACAGTGATAATATAGGATGTGTATCTGTACAGTAGATATACACAGACTAATGCTGAATATAGATATGGGGTAGAAATATTAAAGACTCCCATATCTGTGGTACTGAAAAATTCATTCACTCAAATCTTACAATGGGGAAAGCAAGGAAAAAATCTAAACAGCAGGATACGACAATAAATGGGAAAACAGCAATAGAAAAAGCACACTAGGTTAATATAGGAAAACTAGTTTCTTTATTGAGAGATTGTATATTAGTATTAGTGGAATTGTGTGTAACAATGTCATCATGCACACAATACAAAAAGGCAAGGCCCACCATGCTATGGAGGGGCAACAGAACAAAAGCAGCGTACAATGAGCAGATGTATAGGCTACAGCACATTACATTTCAGCAGGGTATGTCTCTACAGAGAGATTTACATCAGAAACTAGGTAATGTAAAAAAATACAGACCATGCTTTAGTTTTAGTACAAGAAAAAAGGTGAAGATACACAACCAAAGGATATTTGATACAGAAAATTACCCACAAAATAAGAACAGGAAGTAATTTAGCACAGCAGAAAATGTTATCCCTGTTTAATGGAAAACCATTTTGCCAGTAGTCTCTCTTTTAAAAAAAATAATTTAATTAAAATTGCCATTTAATATGCTTCTTTGGAGCAGCGTTAATTGATCAAATGTTTGTGTCCAATTTATACACACTAAATGAAGTGTTTGGATCATTTCTATAACAGGCAATTGTATATACTGGATGTTTCAGCTTTCAAAGAAACAGATGGAGGCCAGCTGTTGAAAGTGGTGTAATTTTGGCCAAGACTGTGTGTGATATATAATGTACAAAGATGCAGTACCCCTTTGTATTACAAAGTCTTTGAATAATCCTTGTTAATACGCAGGGTGGAGGAATATTCAGATGTTCATATGCTTAGTGTCCCCATTTATTCATGGATCTTATTCTCCAACTATTTTTCAAGCCTTTTCTTAAATTAAGGCTAATTTAATTGCAGATTTTATTATTATTATTTTTGCCTATGATTGACTGTAATTTGTTTAGTCATAAAAGCGTTCTAGATGGCAAACCAATGGTTGTCTAAATAACTAGAAAAACCCCCCACAAGATACTGCATCCACCAACTAAAGCAAAATGAATCCACTTAACAGGAATTTACAGTGCAATGTACTTAGCTAAACAAGATGAAGATACAAAAATGGCTGTTATTATCTACAGCTATTCTGAAATGGCCTGTTTTCTATACTACTACAATGAAATTAAAAAGAGCAGATTTAAGCTTACAGTCTGTCTAATAGTTTTACAAGAAAATTGTGGTTTAGGACTTCAGGTTTAAGCATTAGTATCCTCTGTCACAAGGTCTTTTTATGGTTCATTTTTATGGGTCAAATATCAATAGCCCCTTTACAAGTTTCTCTGTGGGTATGTTCAGTTTTAAGTAAAATGAAAGAACCCAAAATGAAATGTAAATTTGGGGGAGAGAAGCAGAGAACCCCTCCCACCCCACTAAAACTAATTTGAAATTGAAAACATTAAATTGCATCCAGTAATGGTATTAAAAATCAGTGTAATTAATGATGATAATGATTTAATCAGGATAATTATACTTTGGGGCTTAACATCAGTCTTAATTATTTTTAATGTATGCCTAGTATATAATAAAAAATCCTAGACATTCTCAAATAATAAGGATAATTGCACAGATGAGAGGGAGGGGGAAAATTAGTGTTACAGAGAAATCTCATCAATCTAAGCCTTTTTGAAATTGACAGACAGCCCATAGAGAGGGGATACTGCAACTTAAATATCAATGCCTTCCTCGGATGGATACAGGAAATGGTTAAGAGAGGGGTGTCACAATACAGCTAAATGCAGAGGCAGAGGGCTACAGCACACAGCAGCAAGTTGACCATTCACTGTGCTACACAATGAAGAAAAAAAAATAAAGATTTGATAAATGCAAAATGTCATCATCCCATCATCACAATAGAGACTGCAGTTAACAATGCCACTATGTTCAACCTGGGTCATATGTACACATACAGTAAAGGGAAATAAATTTTAAAGCGGTTGGGCAACAGCAGGAAAGGAAAAACCAGATTCTGATCTTAGTTACACTGGGGGTAAATCAGTGCATCTGAAGCCATCCGTGCAGTGGAGTTACTCTGGATTTATAGCAGTGTAAACTGAGATCAGAATCTGGACTGACTCTAATTGTGCTAGATTTTAACCCATCTTTTGTTGGGTCCCCAGTGATCAAGATCTCAATGGTAATTACAGCAGTGCATCATCTTCAAGAGGAAATTTATTTTATATATAAATAAAACTATAGGGACTTGACCAACAATAGGCCAAAGGGGGGTGGGAGGTCAGGCTGGGGGAACATTTCCAGGAAAGAAATGTAAGGAGAGAGAAAGGCTGATTTAGAAATAATAATGACTCTAAATGCATCCTGATTTTGATAGAAAGAAAATGGAAGAAATGAGGGAGAAAGGGGTGGGGGGGGGGAGAGGGAGAGGTCCAGGTCCATTGTCTGTAGCAGAATGTGGGGTGGATGGGAACGAGGGGAGGTGGAAAAAATATGCAATGGCCATACACATCCCATATTAAATCTCTGTGAAAAATAATCATCACACTGCTTTCCTGAAAAATCTCTCTGAGCAACAAGAGCACCATGGAGCTGTGGACTGATGTGCTGCTCTCCAGAAACAACATTACCATTAGAATCCCCAAAGAGAGGAGGACAAATTACAGGAGATGGGGGGGGATGTCCAACAAGAAATAAAAGTCACCCTAAAAACGGTAGGCTAATTCCAAAGCTATTTTAGTCCATTCCAGAAGAAACAGCCAGGGACAAAAAGAAAGGTTAAGAGAGGGTGAACGTGCTCTCGGTTCCCAAGAGAGTGGGGGAGGGACGAGATAAGCTATGGAGAGACCTCAGCTTGTAAATAAATAATAATAAAAGCACACATCAATGGTTAAACAGAGCACACACACACACGCCAAGAACACAAAATAAAATCGCTACCTACTGAATGCACAAAATCAAAAAGAAAAAGAAAATCTATCCTTTCTTTAGCCCCCTGCCCCATCTGGGCATAGAGCGAGGCAGGTCTAGGCTTGGCTTTCCACCCGAGAGCTAGATTTGTCAGGTGGGAAGCAGGGGGCAGATGGTCCGAGTGAAAGGGAAGGAGGCTCCCCGAATCCAAAGGAGAAGAATCTAAAACAATCCCACCGCTTGGTTTGCTTTCTTTCCTTCCCCCTCCGCCCTCCTGCATCGGATCCGCAAGAAAGAGAGACAACGAGGAGCCAGGGGGGGGGGAAACCCTCCAGAGAAACCAAAGGATCGTGCATTTAAAAAAAAACAACACACACACACACACACACACACGCCACCACCGAGAATAAGCCCCGAAGGATAAAGCGATACCTCTGTTTCGTACAGAGCCAAACACTGGAAGAACAAGATAGCCGACGTGCACTAGAACCATCCTGCCTGCCTGCTGCCGCGGCTGCGGTCCCTTTGTTGCGCTGCTCCTGGGTGGAGGTGGGAGCGGGGCGGCTGCTGGCTGGGAGACAGATGGCCCATGGAAATGGTCCCTTCCAATCCCCTATATACATTCAAATGTGGAGCTGGGGCTGCAGCTGCCTGGCACACAAAGGGAAGGGCAGCCAATGGGAGGGAGGCCTGAGAGGAGGGGGTGGTTGGTTCTTTCTTGCTGGGTTTTTTTTATATATATATATTATTATTATTATCTCCAGCTTGGGTCTCTGTGACAGGGAGGAGACCCAATCAGGGGCTGGGCTGGAGCCTGCCCTGGGTCCTGCTGGCTAAGCTGCCTCCAAACAAGGAGATGGAAGCAAATTGGGGCCAGGGTCTGGAAGGCTGGGGGTGGATTTCACAGCCACTGTATTTCATACAGATACACTCTCACACCCCCCCTAGCCAGGGGGATTCGCTGCCAAGCACACACCCTCCAGCCCCACCACAGAGATATGTGCATGCACACACCCACAGAGACACATGTAGTGATTCAGACAGAGACACGGAGATACACAGACTTCACATATGCTCCACACCCGAGCCACAGAGAATCATGTGTGTGTGCACACCCACAGAGAATCATGTGTGTGTGTGCACACACAGAGACAGAGATAAACATGCAGTATAAACAGACAGAGCCAGATTTTTAAAGGTATTTAGATGCCTAAAGATGCAGGTAGGCACCTTACTACCTTTAAATATCTGGCTCACCCATCCTACATACAAAGACACACACACAGGCACTTGTATGCCAACCGTCCACAAAGACACATACACACCCAGACATACATAGGCACACATACACAAACATACAGTCTATACATCCATCAAGAGACACACAAACATACAGAGACATCAACACACCCAACATATGAACACAGACACAGATCATACCCTTATAAAAAGTCCTATAGAAGTTGAGAGAATGATAACCCTGCTATAGAACTCTACAGAATGGTTAAGAAGACTACAGAAATGGCTTTATTAAATCCTGTAGCTTTTCGGAGTAATTTCTGTAGAATCCTATTAAGTATCTCTGTTGGTTTAATTCCTGTTACATTCTATAGGTCTTCTCCACTAAGGCATGGACAGATACATATAAAGATACACAATCGGGCATATACACAGCATATACACAATCTACACAAATATGTACAGAAGTGTAGGTACACACATAGGCATGGACACGCACAGAGAGAGGGCACAAATATGTACGCTATACATGCACCTAAACAGACAGAGGCACACAACGTATACACTGCATACATATACCCTACACTCACAGATAGAGCAGAGATACACAGACAGTGACACATAAACATGCACATTGAACATTCAAAGTCATATATATGCAGCCAAATCATATAGATATACATACACATATAAATGCACACTCCCTAACCACTCAAAGACAAAGGGGAATACCCTAGTCCAGGGGTTCTTAAACTGGGGGTCGGGACCCCTCAGGGGGCCGCGAGCTTATTACATGGGGGGTCACGAGCTGTCAGCCCCCACGCCAAATCCTGCTTTGCCTTCAGCATTTATAATGGTGTTAAATATATAAAAAAGTGTTTTTAATTTATAAGGGGAGGTCGCACTCAGAGGCTTGCTATGCGAAAGGGGTCACCAGTACAAAAGTTTGAGAGCCACTGTCCTATTCAGACACATACACAGAGTCAGACATGCACTGACACCCTGCACATATGCTTATGGAAAGTCCTACAGAGTGAGCAGAGAATAATATTCTCTCTGTAGAATTTCTAAGCCAGTCTATAGAATCCTATAACAGGGATAAAAGTCACTATTAAATTCTATAGGATAATTTACAAATTCTATAGCAAGGATATCATCATTCTCTATATGGATTTAGAATAATTTTTATAAAATCCTGTTTCATTTCTACAGAACCCTATTGTGTAAATCCCTATTAAATTACCTAGGACATGCATACAGAGCCATAATCAAACATACAGAGAGACAAACTTTACACACTCAGAGGTGCACACATACTGCACAAGGACAGCAGCACCTGGATCCCTCCCATATACATGTACATCCTACACCCAAAGATGTACAGACACAGACAACAGCCGGACCTGAAAAGGTGTTCATTTCAACCCAAAAGCCCTCCACAGAGTGCTAAAAACAACAGCAAGGAGACCCTTAAATATACAACTAACAGGAAAATAATATGCTACTGAACAAGACAAAAAAGGTAAGAGCGATGGTTTGACATTGAGTGCCATAAAGTAACAAGAAAAGGAAGGAAATCTCTATTTTAAAATACTGTCTGAGGCCATTCTGTGCTACATATACCACAACATTCTGCAGAAGGGTAAATCATTGCTCATGTAACAATAAAATAATCACAGTAGTCCCTTTCTTCTAACACTGAACCAGGAACTTTATGAAAATAAGGACAACTGTATTCCCCCTAAAGCTATTCTGTTCCTCTTTGCTTCACTGTAGAACTTCAGGGCTAGAGCTTTTCCCAGTCTCTCTGTGGTCTGGTTTCCTGCTACCAATTTAAAGAAACAGTGCACATAACTTGACTGGGGCTATCATAGAAAAAAGTTAGTTTTTTCCTTCATAAAATCTGATGTTGGTGGAACTAATTGAGGAGACCTGGAAAGAACACAATCTAAGTGAAAAGGAACAAAATGTAGCACTCCAGAATGGTAAAATCTGGAAAATGTAGAGACACACAGAATCCACATAGAAAACAGACACTCTAAATTATTCACCCTTAGGCCTCATAATAAATGCATCAGGAAGTTTCAAACCAGCTACATATAAGCACTGCCAAAAAAACAACTTCTGTGGACTCCACCATATAAAGAAACCACTAGATAAACACATGCCACTTCAAGCTGGTTGAAAATGGCCTGCCCCACACCCCCAAACCAAACCATTTTCCAGTTTTTCCAACCAAATGCAAACTTTCTCTCTCTCTCTTCTCCCCCCCCCCCCCAGAAGACTCAACATTTTGACCAACACCCCCCTCCACCCAACATTTTTATTTAAAAAAATCATATTTGGCTTCCTCCCAAAAACTGCAGCAGCTTAAAAAAAAACCCCACACACCTCGTTTTTTAAAAAATTCCCATGAAAAACAACTGACATTTTTGACCAGGTTAAAAGCCATCGGCATTAATACTGTGTGACAGTACAAGTCAAACTAGTCACTAGGTCAGAACAAAGTCAGCTCTAACTCAAGACTACAAAATGGAGCAAAACCCTGGGAGAAAACCTTCAGCCATTCTGCAAGCTGGTACTGTGTGTACACACAGGAACACTCCCAACAGCAGTGGAGAATAAAACTAGGACAGTTCCTCCTATTGATCGATATCTAAAACCATGTATTGTGCCCCGGGTATTACCTCATTAAAAGCAACACAAACTCCCTCCATCAGAAAGCAGTACAGACCTACAAGATAAATACAAAAAAATGCCACTCCACTGCTGTGCAATTTCAATCCTGGCACAAATAATACTAGCCCACATGCTTCATTCCTGCAAAAAGTACTCAGAAGGAAATGCATTAATGCAAAAACCCCATAGCTCCATTGGTAGGTGTAAAGTGGGTGGGGACAAAACAGATGTTGGAGGGTTTGAGATCCATAGGGAAGCTGGCCCCCAACTGGATGGATCCTGCCCAGGGTGTATACTGGAAGTAAAAGGTCCCTCAAGCAGAATTAATTTTGTGTGTGCTTAACCACACCACTTAGTGCTGCTCCTCCACCTCGCTTACAAACTTTTCCCTATACCCCTTCAGGGATGTATTGAAGAGGGTGAGGGTGGCTACACAGAGACAAGCAACCTCCTACATAGCCACTTTCTCCCTTCTCATGGACAAAACAGAGAAAATGTCAGCCTCAAATAAGAAATTTTGAGAAAGTTCTGGACAGTTGGGGAAAAAAAGATCAGAATGAAGGTTGGTGCGGGTCACAACTTCCTCATGGACCAATCATGTTTCGTCATAGCTTTCATGTCACCTGGTTTTCGGAGGTGCTGAATGACAAGAGCTCAGCAGCACCTCTGAAAAGTAGGCCACAATCCTGCAAGTGACTATTTGAATCCCCCTGGAGCCCCATTCTATCTCTAACACTTATCAGGACGCCGTTACCGTAGTGTCTGAGCTCCTCACAGTTTTTAATGTAGTTCTCCTCCTAACATCCCTGTGAGGCAGGGAAGTGTTATCCCCGTTCTACAGAGGCACAGGGAGGCTATGCGACTTGACCAACATCACACAGGAAGTCTGTGATGGAACTGAGACTTATATCTATGTCTCCCAAGTTCTAGGAGGCATCCTGGTCTGACGAGTTCTGTGTAGCTCGAAAACTTGTCTCTTTCACCAACAGAAATAGGCCAATAAAAGGTATTACGTCACCCACCTTGTGTCTCTAATAACATTTACTGAATTCAGTGGACACACATGCAGGAAATCACACCCCCAGACACCCATGCCAGGTTATTCTAAATTTATTTATATGTAAAGGGATATATATATAAGCAAATCCACCCTTTAAAAATGGGAATGCTAGTGTGATTAATCTGTACCAGTCTTCCACAGGCAAAATGTCCCTTCCTGAATCATTGAAACATCCCTGCAAACATGCCATTTAACTACGATACATTTATTTTTAAATAGCAGTTAAGCTGCATTGGCGTTTCAGCTTTCATTTAAAACCCACAAAAGTAAAGATATTCAGCATTAAGGTGGAAAACCCAGGCAGCTATTCTGTCCTGAATTCACCCCCTTGCAGCCGGGGAAGGGGGGGGGGGTGCAGAATACAGCAGCAGCTTAAAGCCAAAGTGTCTGTCTGGATTTTCAGCCATAATTTTGAAAAACAGTTCTGTCCTGTTGTTGGTTTAGGAAAGACCTTTAGTTTTTCCTAAATGTAGGTTTTTGTGATTGATCTCATGGGTTTGTTTTCTTTGCAATCGAATTATTGCATCAGAGGGATTTTACTTGGAAAGAGAACTCACAATTTTTTCCCTATCAGCAACATATGTATATCAGCCCTTCCAATAACATCAATCTACTGTGCTCCTCCATACA